GCGGGGCCGGGGCCGGGGCCGGGGCCGGGGCCGGGGCCGGGGCCGGGGAGGAAGTGAGTCAAGAGAAGAAAAAGAAACGAAAAAAGTTTTTTCTGAAGGACCGTGGCAAGTGGCGCGCTCTCGGGGGCTCCGGGGAGGCTTCTTCTCCTTCTTCTTTTTTTTTTTTTTTCCCTTTTCCTGTGCGCCCGCCGGAAGCCTTCCTTTTTTACACAACCTCGGGGCCCTTCAGATGCGGCTGCCCCAGAGAACAGCTTGGCCACCAGATCCTCCCTGAATCCCCCTTTTTCTGGGCTTTCCGAGTCCCAGAGCACACTGGCATTTATAGGGGTGTTGGTTGTAGTCGAGTTGGTCTAAGCATGTAGGTGCACAAGTTTTTTGGGTAAATCTTTTATTAGACCAACTAGATAGGCCTGACGTGTAGGGCCTGCGGGATTGCCGGAGTGGACAGGCTGTGAGAGCAGATCCCAGGTCTGCCTTGGCTGCAGCACAGGCCCCTTGTCTACCATCCACCCCAAGGTACATGTGCCTTTGCCTGCTGTGGTCTGGCATGTGTGCCAGGGGTTGCTGATCCCTGCCCTAGAGTCACCTGTGCTAGAGAACCACAATGAAGTTTCTCAGCTGACTCAGAAATATGGGAGCAGGGCTAGAAAGAGGAAAGGCCGGATGTTCTAGATGTGTGGTGGTTTTTGAGAACATGCTTAAAGCTGAGTATCTGTTCAGAAACAGAAAAGACCATTTCTTGTGACTGATATGATGCTTAAGAACATTTGTAGATTTCTGTTAAAAAGATGCACCATTTCTGCTCCGTTAATTATGCTCCCACTAATGTTTGCCTCAAGTGTCATAGTTTCATAGAAGTTAGGGACTGGAAGGGACCTCAGAGGTCATCGGGTCCAGCCCCTGAGGTACACTAGGCCTTGATCCTTTAAACAGCAGTGTAGGTGTTTAACATTAAATGTGCATGTATGTCTGTTGACCACAGCAGAATGATTCGTGTGCTCCAAGCTGATCCTGTGTGTTAGTTGCAGTATTTGAAGAACCCAAATTGTTAGGGCCTCATATGGAATAGTGCTCAGAGCTTGCAGCTTCTTTTAACCCAAGCTGAAGTATTGACACAAGACTATAAAACTGTACTTCAAAGTTGTACTGTTCTCTGGAGAATGCACTATTGGCTTCTTTTAGATGAATTGAAAAAAAAAATTCCAAATCAAAATATGGACACTTTGCAAATACCTAGGCCACAGAGGAATTTAGTTCTTAAAAAAACAAAATATTAAAAAAAATGGAATAAAAGGAATATGCCTGTTATTTTTAACTACAGCTGAAGAATTTGTTTTACGGCTATTCTTTTTTATGTTTTGGGTTTTTTTTGCCATTCTTGCAAAAGACTTGGAGGGGCAAATCTTTGAAAGTCTTGCTCATCTCTGCAATCAACTTGTTTAACACGCTTCAACTTCACATGTCTAATTTTATCTTTGTTTAGTGATTTGGTAGTGGTTTTGGTTTGCTTAAAGTCTATTCTATTTTTAACATCAATCAGATATTTTAATTTCATGGACATGTTTTTCTCTGAACTACACCTCTTCGGAAAGTCATACTTAACTAGTCTTTCTTTCTGGAGCTTTTATTGGTGTGAGAGTTTTAGGTCAGCCTTTCAAATAAGTTTAAAAAACATCATAACAGAAAAACACAATGAATGACAATATGTGGCAATAAAATCAGCTTTTTAGTAGAATTATGATGATTGAGTGGCCTCAACTGGAAGATTCAAAACAGTTCTAGTGAGTTTGATAAAAATCGGTAAGGATACATGCTTATTTTAAATTACACAATGAAAGCATCTCCTATATGGTATAAATTATAAGTATGTAATTGATGTACATGGGGGTGGGGTGGGATGGGATGGGATGGGGTGGGGTGGGGCTGACGTGGTTCTAAACCCAGTAGAGTGCCAGTCAGTGTAGTCCGCCTTTTAAAAATGTTAATTAAATGAAAGAAAATATATTCATAACAATGGCTAAGTGTGTAAGCCACCAAAGAAATTCACTGCTAAGTGAATCTTATTCGCTGTTAATTAACAAATTTATGGTTAGGTACTGTACTGCAGAGTGCGCAACTCATGTAGGATTGTTTATATCCAAGACCTGTGTGACAGAGAGCTATAGGTCAAAATAAGGATAGAGTGAAAGCTTTAACAATAAAGGCTTTTGTGTCATTTTAGTTCTTTAATACTATCGGAAGTCAGTTGGTTTCCAAAGTCTTTCATACTTTTTATCTTCTTATTACCTCCTATTCTTTCTATTTATCCCTTTCATCAAATTGTAAACATCTTTCCATGATTTTATTCCTCTGTTTCTAAATATTCCTTTTTCTTTTCTACCTGTAACTCTTTGGTATTTGGTTCGCACCCCCTTTTGCTTTGGTGACTCCTGTCATTTTAAATCCCATTTCAAAACCTCTGTTTTCTGCACCTTCAAATAATTATATATGATTTCCTGTTCTTATAAGCCCTTTCTTCTTTCTTAGGGCCACTAGTTTTTTAAACTGATTGTTTTTATTGGGCTTTTTGTCTTGTTGCTTTGTTCTGTTTTCCTCCTTCAGTACTATAAATACATTAAAATTGAGGCAGAGTAATTTTCTTCATCTCTGAGAAATAGCAGCATTATTTAAAAGTAAAAATATTTCTGCAATTACTTCATTTAGCCAAAGGTGCTCACATGGCTTCCGTTATGATAGCATTTGAAGTCCTTTCATGTATTAATTCCCACAATATTCCCCTGTGTTAGGACACAACTATTTTATAGATGAGTAGCAAAGACAAAGGAACTTGCCCAAGGTCATGTCATCAGTCTGTGGTGGACAAGGTAGTTTAAAGAAGGCTCCGGAGTCCCAGGTGGACAAACTAACTGTTGTTAAGAGGTGGATTGCTCCTCTGCCTCATTCTCTTCCCCCACTCCATAAGATGATGATCTCTTCACTTGGATGTGAAGGCTGTGGATTTGCTCATGTCTGTGGCTCCTTCCCCTTTGTTTTGGGAGAAGGGATCTATGTTTGAAAGAAGAGGAAGGCAGGGGGACAAGCCAGGGCCACTGCCTCTGGTAACAGTCAAGGAAATCGCCTTTCTTCAAGACATAACTCCAAAATCAGGGCAGAGATGGTCTTGAAGCAAGTGTGAATTGGCCTGATTTCTGTGGGCCTGGTGGTTGATCCCCATGGTTGCTGTGGATGATGTTGGCCAGAAAAAGGACGCTACAACACCACATAATATGGTCTGTATCAGTGGTTGCAATCACCCCTGTTGGACTGGTTGTAGAATGGGGTAGGCAACGTTTTTTGGCCGGCGTGCCGAAAAACACCACAGTGCCTACCTTGGAAGGTGCCGGCATGCCAGAAAAACAAAATAAGGGCAGGGGGTACATGGCAGGATGCCCTGATTGTGCCCCTTGTCCCCCCAACCAAAGCCCCTGCCCTGCTGCCCCTTGGCCCCTGCCCTGCTGCCCCTGCTCCCCAGCCCGGGCTCTGTGGCTGTCAGCAGCTACCCTGCTTCTGGGGCCAGCTGCAGCTGGGAGGCTGCAAATGGCTGTGCCAGGCTCCAGAGCCCTGGCATCAGCTCCGTACCAGTGCATGCACGTGTGCCTTGGAGTGGGTGGTGGGGGAGGGGCCTGAGGCAGCGCAGCCCCTGTCTCTCCCCCGCTCCTGGCACAGCTGGTGACTGGGCTCTGTAGCCTGGCGCAGCTGTTTGTAGCCAGCCCAGGCTCTGGGCA